AAAAAAAAAAAAAAAAAAGCGTCCAGACCTCACTCTCCACAGCTCCTCTCAAAAACCCCTAATTCCATTTTTAGGGTTTCCCTTTTTGCAGGAGCCCCAAAATCTCGACACCATTTTACAACGGAAAAAATGAATCTCAACATCTTCAAGAAGAAAACTTCGCCTAAAGGTAGAGTCTTGACATCGTCCCATAATAATTGGTTGTGTTCGTTTTATGTCTTTCTTGATTTCTGCTGGAAAAAGTTCAAATTTCATGTTGTCATTCTCAATTTGGGAGTTCCTATGTGGGGTGGGTTTTAAGATTAATGTCCTAACTGCCTACATTTTTTTTATTTTTATTTTTTTATATTTTTTGCAGAGGCGCTGAGGACCAGCAAAAGGGAAATGACGGTTGCCACAAGAGGTACTTTTAAGTTTTAAGCATTTGGGTTTTCTCAGTGATGATTTGTGGGCTGTGAAGGATGTTGAATTTGGTTTTTTGGTGAATGGTATAAGTTTCGAGGAGATAGCCCTCATAGGGAAATGTTCTGGTGCTAGTGAAGTTTCTCTTAGGCATAATATTGAATTTCGGTTCGAATGTCGATAATGAAATTGGCTTATTTTGAGTATGGCGATGACCCGGGTTACTCTTACTGCATCTGAAAGTTTTGTTCTTGCTCCTAGAGTGAAATTAGCAAAGAAAATAGGGGCATTTTATTTGTCGGTCAATTTCACTTTACATGGATAATTTCGGTTCTTTCGGAAGCGCCAAGTTTGAGTGTGGCATTCCATGTCACACTCCTTAGTCTTTGATACTCATCCATCCCAGTAAAGAACATTTTTCCTGTTTTTGTATTAAGGTATGGTTTAATAGGAAAAAGAAAAGGGAAGAACAAAGAACAATTTGAGACATAATTTAAGTAACTGTGTATATGGTTTTGAGGAAGCATGACTTGTCGCCCGAGCTAAGCCTGTTTATTTCCCACCCACATGAAGTCACCTATCCTAATTTTACTCCGTTAAATTTTACCACTCCTGATTAGTAAACCCCGGAAATTCTCAATGGTCTTGGCACATTTGTTCATCAAAATGAAATCTTCTTCTCATTTCTTCCTTTTTACCTCCATAAACTGGTTACAAAGCTATAGAAAGATTATAGCTTTACGGGTTTTATTAGTTTTTTCATCCTTACATTGATACATTCTCTTTCACCATGTATATCTTCAGTCTTTACTTCAATTCATGGACTTAAGTGGTAAAAGAATTACCTTTATCACCGGTATTTGTGTGCTACTTTCAGCAAGTAAAACAACTAGAACTATAAGTTGGTTTCATCCCATATAGTGAACAAACTTTGTGGGAGTCCAATTTAGGAGAAAAATAGAACAAGGTGAAAATATAACAATTGTTATGCCTGTTTAAGGCTATTATTGGTAAGCTATCTTATAGCTTTTAAGTGAATTTCGAGCTTATAGCTGATAGCTTATGACTTAAGGCTGAAAAAGCTATATGATAAAAATGTTTGCTGTAAAATTAGCATAAATAAAAATTTCAATAGGCTTATTGAAAAGCTACCCAACAAAGGAATGCTTATGAGATAAGCTCTCGAGCTTTTTAAAAAAAGTTTGTCCTACCAAACCAAGCTTATTTGAATGCAGGAAGCTTGTAAGCCAATCAAATAAGCTATAATCTAGTTTATATGCTTACCAAATACAATATTAAAGTCTACATTTCTTTTGAATAGGAGGTCCTAACTACATTGGTTCAAAGAAGCCAACTTTTGCCGATGCTCGCTATTTTTTTTTTCCTCTCCCGCCACTAACTCATATACACTTAGAATTGGACATGCTGATTCATGCTTGATTTTTCTTTTTCCTCCACCGATTTTGTCACGTTACAGGAATTGAACGTGAGATTGCATCTTTGCAAATGGAGGTATGTTTGGGAAATCTTTTGATATGAAGCCAATGCCCCTGTCAGCTTTAATCCATCATTTGCTGTCTTGTGATGGTCTAATCACTAATGAGAAAAAGTATCTGCAAATTTTAGGAGAGGAAATTAGTAGCAGAGATCAAGAAAACAGCGAAAACAGGAAATGAGGTGGTGATTTTTCTTGCCTCTTATTCATGCTCGGACGGCATATCATCATTTTCTTTTTTCGAATTCCACTTGTAAAATGTCTTAGTTTTGTTCGATTTCTAATCAGGCTGCCACTAAAATCTTAGCTCGTCAACTCGTTCGACTCAGACAGCAAATAACAAATTTGCAGGGCAGTCGAGCTCAGATCAGAGGTGTGGCTACTCATACACAGGTGTCGCACGTTAAATTAACATTTAGCAATTCTTTAATTTTTATTTTTTATTATTTATTTTTGGTGGATCTTCATGTACTTTGTATTCATTCATATTCTAGGCCCTATATGCAACCACGTCGATTTCGACTGGTATGAAAGGTGCTACTAAAGCTATGACTGCTATGAACAAGGTTTGTTTCGAAACAATCCTTTTGATTAAAAAAAAA